AATAGAGGCCGTGGTTGTTTCCTTTACAGATGCATATATTACACAGGATGTATGTGCACGATCTCTGGGAGGCTGGCATCACTTTTCAATCTGCAATGTTGTTGTAGCCTGAACATCATCAACTCTTCAGCTTCAAAAAATACTCAAAGAAGCCAAGAAGTCATGTTTGGCTGTTTTTCTCAGTCTGTCAATCAGCTGAATGCAGACATGTCGTGGGCTGGCAGAGATGCTGCGGGACGAGATTAAATGCAGCGTGTGAAAAGTGTCTTTTATCTGATGTTTTGGTTTCCCTCCGCAGGGATACCCGTTTGTGTGTATTTGATTGACAGTGTGGGGTTTTCTTTCAATTTCAAGTTAGTGTTTCACCACAAAAATGGTCCATTATTGTTTGATGGGTAAAGAAAGAGTGTCATGTCTCCGTCTCCAGCCTTTGTGAAGAGACATTTTAAGTGTGAAGGAACATGGGGACACAGAAAACATTGTAGAGCATCAAACTGGACGTTAAGATTAGGATTTGACACGGGCAGAATTTGATATTTAATCAGATTTAAATGTGATCATGATTTCCAATCTCACAATACTTGACATTAGTGCTGTACTTTAAGGGGGTTTCATTATCAGAGTCATAAATCAGAGGCCAGAGTCACTTCAGGTGAATAAAACAGGAGCAGAGAGCCAGTGGAGCCGTTTGATCAGAAGAACTGTGGCGCCATCTACTGTCAAAACCTGAAACATAAAATAATTCCACACATCACCACTAACTCCCATTATTATTATATGTCAAGTAAAAAATGTAGGTTTAAAGTTCACATTTATATCCACACTATATTGATATTTTAATATTTATTTCTAATCTTTTACTAAAATAATGATGAATAATATCAGTAAAATCCACTTCATTCTTATACCAGWTAAATAATGGGAGACAATAAAAATATACACTTGACTTTGACTTTATTTGGATACGACAACATGACTGAAGTTGAGGTTCCCCCCAACATTAAATTAAATTGACAAAAGAAACCAAATTTTCATTTATAAGGTTTAAATATAATTTTACCATTAACTGTGACTAAAGACAATAAATCCATGCCCATTTTGTCGTCACAGCATCTAACCACACATGAAATAAATAATCTATTAGAAACTATTACTATAGATACTATCTTCAAATGTGGGATTTTAGATAAATCTAGTGTGTCAGGAGTTTTACATGGTGAAACAATATGCAGTTGTTGCACGCCAGTAGTTTTGCATGTGGCTTCACTGTCCAGACAGGTGAACACACTGTTGTAGAGGTAGATTGTGGAAGTGTTCTCTTCTGGTATGTTTCTATTTGGAAATGAGTTTTCCCCGAACGCCAGTAAAACGCCTCTTTGACTTTTCCTCCTCTGGGCTTCTGTCTGTCAAGGGCTCCATGGTGCTGCTTAGCTTTCAGGACCATCTAGTGGCTGAACAGCCACAGCAGGAAGGTACTGTGGAGCTGCTTTTGGATCTGCACTGAAGTGCGGGCACTTTCCAGAAATGTGGTAGTGCTGCATGTGAGAACGCAAATGTCCGACTCCTCACAGTCTCCAGTTCCCCCCCATGTGCAGAAATTGCCCAAGTGAGCCCATGTGAGGTAAATGTCCTAGAAAGAAAACAAATATGTCAGGATGAAAAATTAGAGCCGTAAGTAGAAGACGCAGACGGACATGTCAACTTGGACAAACGATCAGATTCGATAGCTCTTGGGCGGAAGGGCCACCCCCCCACCTGACAATCTCCTGCAGCTTTGTTCACACGTAAAAGATAAACTCAATACTCAGAAAAATTTTAACCCACGTGAGAAATCCGTGGACACTCCGGACAAGAAGTGAGATATTGACACTTGGTCAAATCAGTGACAAATCAACTCCACGGAGATCACGAAAAGTGCAAAATCACGGTGCGTGTGCAGGAACAACACTCTAGATGTCATGGTAAGGTCACTCCTGAGTCGGTTGTGGGTAATGAGGTGGTCACACTCACAACACACACACACACCATGCACACACCTCAAGCACCTCAGAATAAAACATTTTGCATGCAAAAAATAAGCTTGTGCAGCTGAAAATGTGCATGCAAAGTGAATATTTGCAAACGGCGCACACTCACTCATGCAGACACAGTTGTCACATTGTACTGAACAGGTGGGTTTATGAGTAACACTCTGTGTGTGTGTGTGTGTGTGTGTGTGTGTGTGTGTGTGTGTGTGTGTGTGTGTG